CAAAAGAAAGCGATTCAGAATGCGAGTTTTCAGTGCCATTAATACGACCTCATTACGTCAAATGTGTGTGTGTGTGCGTGTGCGTGTTTTTTGCCTTAGCATAAAATCTTCTTTAGAAATTTTAAATGTCAACATTTGACGACTTTACAATAGAAAAATATAATTAATGGAATATTAGCAAATAAATATATTCGACATTTAAAAAAATGATATCCTAAAAAAATTTCCCTATTGAAAACAAAAAAAAAATCGACGTCATCTTTCATCACGTGACGTCACGCCAAAATTTTCTCCGTATCCCGATAATTCCATAACTTTATAAGAGAAAATTACACATTTATTAGTATTATTATTACTACGTTTTGGAAAATATTAAATTTAATTAAAAAAAAAAAAAAACATTAAATCATTATAATTAATAACATCGATTATAAAATAATAATAATAATAATAAAAATAATAATGATGATGATTTTTATTTGAAAAAAAAATTAACATATTACGTTAAGGAATCCTTGAAATCAAATCGTTATTATTATTATTATTAATTAACTGACAAGGTTGTTTGTCGTTAATACGGTTGTTACAAACGTTTATATATTGACCATAAAAATTTAAAAAAAAAAAAAAAAAAACATGATGACATTATTTGTCCTCTGATTAAAACAACAACAACAAACAACTGACACCCTTTAAACTCTCTATCATTTTTCCTTTTCCTCCTTTTTAATGCCAAAAAAAAAATTGTAATTTCATTTAAATTAATTAAAAAATTTAATTTTTTTATTAAATTTTTGACCCTAAATGACCTTTTAAACGATAGACGTATGTTATGTAAAAGTTTCAACGATGACACGATAAGATAAACAAGATGATGGGAGGGCAAGGGGGAAGATTTAAAAAACGCGAAATAATTAAATTTAAATTTGGGGGGCACAAAAAAAAATAAGGTAAGCATTTGATTGTTATCCAAATGAAAATGAAAATTCGATCGATTCGACCTACATAAATTTTATTTAAATAATTAATAAAATGAAAGTTTTATATACATAGAGAAAGTTAATAAAAAAAAAATATCTATTGGCTGGCAAGCGAGTTTTTTTTTTTTTTTTTTTTTTGTTCTCGCGAATCGAACACTTGTTTCGATTTTTAAACGAAAATACCATCGCGATTGCCAATTTATTAAAATATTCACGTGGGTATAATAATAATAATAATAATGATAATTTTTAAAAAACGAATTTTCAAATGATTTTTTTTTTTTTTTTTGGAAAATTTTAATTAATACGTAGTAGTATGAGAAGAAGAAAAATTTTTAATAATCTAAATACACGTCGCGTTTTTTCTTTTGCACTATCATCATCATCATCATCACAAACTGGGACAAATTTTAGAAAGAAAAATTGACCTTTTCGAAAAGGCTCATTCTTTTAATTATACGTATTTAAAAATAATTAAATTTAAACTTTCTTTTTTATTTTTTTGGCTAATTACAGTCTGAGAGAAGAGTTTAAAAGGAAAAAATGTTTGACAAATCGGAAAAATCAAAACAAAGGAAAAATCATCGAACGTACCTTAAATTTTTTTATTTATTTAGGTATTTAATAATCGAAACTAATAAGAAAGAAGGAAAAAAAACAAATTCGTGACAATTTATAAAATCGTTTAAAAGTGTTGATGACCCGAAAAATTCGATGATACGAACGTGATGGTCAAGAATAGGTGTTCTGGAAAAAGACTAAAAAACTGGTCAACAACAACCGTGTTGGCACGTTTATCTCTCTCTCTCTCTCTCTCTCTCACTCATAAATAGTACAACCGTTTTATTAAAAAACTATTATTATTATTATTATTATTATTATTTCACGTTAACGGAGTTTTATCTTTACGTAAAAATTTTTTTAGGTGAATTTTTTCGGGGTATACCCTAAACGTGTATCTGATGCACGTGAGAGTGTGTGCGTGCGTGTGCGTGCGTGCGAGTATTTTATTAATTTATAATAAATATCTAAGAATGACATGTGTGAGTTTAAATGTAAAAGTTAAGCGAAAAATTGTGAAAGTATTTATTGATGTAAAAAAAATTCAGGGTGCAGAGTTCCTCAAGGGGCGTTCATTAAAATGAATCGATTTCTCATTTTTTTACTTTCTCATCAACTTTTTTTTTTTTTTATTATTATTTACCGTCCACACCCGAAAAAAAAAAAAAAATTTATATTTAATTAACGTCAAGTGAAATTTTTTCTTCCTTTTCACGAGGGGGGGGGGGACAAAACTAACAATCCTATCCATCCATGTTTTTAAATAAGAAAGAAAAAACGCAAAACGCAAAACGAATTTAAATTAAATTAAATTGTTTGTACCTTAATAGACGGAGCAATAATGATAATAATAATAAATTTACGACGAGTATAACGTAATTTTTTTTTTTGTGTTCAAAAGTAATAATAATAATAATAAGCACGGTGAAAAAAAGATGTGTTAATAAAGAAGTATATAGACTATATATATGAGTGTGGTAGCTCAAATATATATGTGTACCGGCACTGCTGCGTTTAATTTCACGCGAGAGAACATTAACCTCACAAGAAAATTATAAATGCCTCCTCTTGAAAATGACTTAAATAATAATAATAATAATGGTATCACACAGATCAAATGTAATAATAATAATAATAATAATAACAACGCTAATCCTTATATGCGTAGGGGAGTACGTGCATATTATTTCTAAACATTAACAAAAAAAAAAAAATTAAATTCTTAGATTTAAATGCGTATTTTCATTCATTACTTTTTTATGCGAAATTGTGTACCCCCCGTCCCCTCACGCCCCCCGAATACGTAAAAAAAAATTGGAAACGTAATAAATAATAAATAAAGTTTTTATCAACGTTTTTTTTTTGGACACTTCGCGGTTATTTATTTATTTTTTTTTGACTTTCACGTAAATCTAAATTATTTAATCGATATAAATAAATAATTTTTTATTTAAATAATAATAATAATAATTTAAATAAATAGAAAGTCCGATTAAAAAAATAAATAAATAAAACTCTCGAGTATAATTAATTATTTTATTTTCGATGATTATATCAAAAAAAAAAAAATGCAAAATTTCCTACTCCCCCTATCCCTCCCTACCTCTCTCCCTTTCGTACATAAACCTCGTAAGATGTTTTCAATAATGTATAATAAAAAAAAAAAAAAAAAAAAAACTCGATCGATTTCCGGTTACGACAAAAATTCCAAAGGAAAAAAAAAAATTTAATAAGAAGGAAAAAATATTTGAACACGTGATGAATGAAAAATTCCGCCTTTTTTTTTAATGTAAAGTAAAACAATCAATGAGATTTTTGTTTAATAATAATAATAATAATAATAATAATAATAATAATAAGAGTATACAAGTTTCGGATTTCAATAAAATATAGAAAAGGAGAATCGCGAATTTTTTTTTTTTTTTTTTTTTTTACACGATTGTGTTGATTTCATATATATTTCCTTGCGAAAATAAATTATTATTATAAAAAAAAAATACAAACGATTGTGAAAAAAAATAAAAAAAAGCAGAAAACAATGAAATTCTAGTCGGTAAAAACCGTTAGTCCGCCGAAAATTTCAAAGAACGTGAGAGAAAGATTTGGTTACAAAAAAAAAAAAACAATGGATAGAAATGTTCCAATTGCACATTTTTTACACCAAAAAAAAAATTATCAATCGGATTAATAATAAATTAATAAAATATTATTACTATTATTACTCACCTTTATGTAAAAAAAATTTAAATTTGAAATCAAAACAAATTTCCTCCCAAAAAAAAAAAATTAACAAACTTTATTTATAAAAAAATAATAAATAAATTATTAAATAAACTTTTTTAAACGATAATCAATCGATCGATAAATCGATAAATCGAAGAATGTAACTTTTAATAATAAAGTTTTTTTTAAAATAAACAAAAATTTAAATTTTAAATAAACCGAAAAATAAAAAAATAAAATAAAACAAAATAAAATTTCACCGACTCTCACTCCACGTTAACTTCTTTTTAACTGTTAAAAAAAAATAAGAGAAAAAATTACTTCTTTCAGGTCAACGCAGGTGTAATGACGAAAATATTAAAAAAAAAAAAAATGAAAAACCTGCGCATGCGCAATATTTTAACAATTATAAACCAACCAACCAACCAACCAACCAACCAACCTCCATAGGAAATAACTAACCAACATTTTTTATTTTCTTTAGTTTATTTTGAAAAAAAAAAATTTTTTTTTGTTGAATTTTTTAACGATTTAAAAATCTCTACGTGTTTTTTTTTAAACAATCATAACAATAATAATAATAATAATAATAATAATAATAATAATCGTGTGTTATGATAAAATAATTATCAACACCAAATTTAGAGAATTAAATAATAAAAATAATAAAAATGTTTTTTCCGGCTTTTAACAACCTGTCGGTAATACTTTAAAAGCATTATTATTATTATTATTATTATTATTATTATTATTATTATTATTATTATTATTTATTTTTATGTTTATGAAATGTGAAAACATAACATTAACTTAATAATATATGAAGATATGTGACGGATACGTTATTAAACACATAATAATTAATAGAATTTAATTTAAAAAAAACAAAAATCCTTTTAAGGTTATTATTATTATTTATGTTTTCTCTCTCTCTCTCTCTCTCTCTCTTTCTCTCTATTTCCGCTTTATATAATCAAGTAGGTTTAAAATTTAAATATGTCAATGGTATTTTGTAGTAGTAAAATATATTTTAAAATGGTGGACACATAATTTTGTTGTTTATGTAAATAATAAAAAAAAAAAATAAATTTTTTTTTTTAACCATTTTTTTTTTTTTTATATTTAATTATTATTATTATTAGTTTTTTTTTTGTCTTCACTTTTCCCCCTTTTTTCCTTTGTCCCCCTTTTTTAGTTTAGTTAATAGAATTGTTGTAAATAATAAATAATTAATCGATGGATTGTCCAAATTGGCCACCGCCTCTACCTTCTTTACCATTATATCCGCCATGTCGTACCGTGATTGAAAAAAAACCAGCTCCAGAAATTAAAATAATAGAAAGTCAAACTCAACAATGGTGGAACGAACGTTTAGGTAACGTAAATGATGGATAGCAAATAAATAAATAATTTGTAAATAAACAAAAAGACGGGAATTTTTTTAAGGTTTTTATCTCCTGATAATGTTTCACGATAAGTTAAATAATATTTTTTTAAAAATACCAGTTCCAGCTCTGGAATTAACATCCGGTATAAAAAAATCACAAAAAAAAGAAAATTTTTACGAACTTACAAGACGACAGAGAAATGGTTTACTTTCAATTAAAATACCAACGAGAGAAGATAAATTTACAAATAGCGTACCACTTCCGGAAAGATCGTATCCGAACGATGGTTTACCAATATGGGAAAGACTTCATCTCGATAAAAAACTTCCAATGTTAAAATGTCCACCGAACGCTTTGGTTTTTGCCAGAGAACGAATCGGAAAAAAAGTAATAAAAACATTTTTTAACTTATTAATTAATTATTAATTATAATCCATTATTATTATTATTATCGTGCAGTTGTGGAAAGATACAAAAGGACAAGAATTTATCTTATACGACCCATATAATTACGAATGTGCTTTTTCATACGAAAACATTCACGATCCACATTTGTCGAATTACTACAAAGGAAAAGAAATAAGGGGATTCTTTATTGAGAGTTGGGGATGCAACAGAAGACGGTTGGGGTTTGTGCTCTTTAAAAAAATTCAATCAATATCGAAAATATTTAAGAAGAGTACATTTATCCCTCATACACTCCGAATTGCAAAGACAAGTATTAAATTAATTTTTTACTTAAATTAAAAATCGATCGATCGATCGATCATCGATTGAATAAACACTACAATGTATATTATATATTACAACAGGAATCTTTAAAAGAAGAAATTCATAAATTGAAAGAATATAAACAAACAACTCAACTTATAATGAAAAGCGAAGAACGTAAAGTTATGGTTAACGAAATGAGAGCTTCAATAATAGAAGCTTTAAAATTGGAAAAAGAAAATAAAATTAAAAGGTAATGATAATGATAATGATGATAATGATGATGATGATGATGATGATGATGATTTGACCTATGGTCAAAATTTCGTATTAAAAAAAAAAAAAACGAGATTTTTGTTCGAATAACATAAATCGATACTTAATTAAGAAATAATCAAAAAAATTTTTATTTATTTATTTATTAAATATCGTTACGAAATATACATCGATCGGGTTATAATAATCACGTGAGTTTTTAACTTGTTATTATTATTATTATGAAAAAATATTTTTTTTTGGGATGGTTGTGTAAATTAGATGAGTATTGGTAAATATTACGTGTTGTTGTTCGATGTGAGTTTTTCAACCGCAAGAATTACATAAATCAATTATCGTCATTTATCCCAAATTAGAACTTTATATTTTGCTTCTTCCCCCCCCCCAACCCTCCTTCAGGTTCCCCACAATCAGGTTGAAAACACGTGCCAAAATAAAAAAATTTTTTTTTTTCGAATAGGATTTTAGCTAGCATACAAGAAAAAAAAGAAAGGATAATAAGATTGCAAGAGACGAAAGAAAAAGAAAAAGAATTGAGGAGGCAAAGAGGTTTATTATTATTGGCAAAACAAGAATTGAAAAATAAAATTTCGTTAGAAATAAAAAGGAGAAAAAAAATAGCAACGCTCAGACGATGGCACGACACGGAAGAAAAAATAATAAAAACAATAAAAAAACAAAAAGAAGAAAAAATGAAAGAAAAATCCGAAAAAGTAATAATAATAAAATTCTGTACGTCGTTAGCCTCTAACGTAATCGATATTATCATCATCATCATCATCATCATCATTTTTTCAGGTTCGATTAAGATGGGAGAACAAAATAAAAAATTTAAAAATTATGTACGAAAGAGATGATTATATATTAAATTTACAACAGGAAGTTAAACAAAAAAATTTAGAAATTCGTAATGCTCTCATTGAAAAACAGAAAAAATTAGAAAAAGGTTTTTTATTTTACAAATCAATATATAAATTATCATTATTATCATCATCATCATCATTATCATTATCATTATCATTAATATTTATATTCGATTAGAACAATTTCGACAAATACGAGAAGCTGGTTTAAGAAAAAAAGCAATGATAAAAAAAAAAAAAGAAGATAAAAGAATGGAAAAAGCAATTATCGATGCTTCCTTAAGAATAATTCAAGGTGTAAGTTTCGATATATCGATCGATCCATCAATCAATCGATCGATAATTTTTTTTTTTAATTGATTATTATTTGTTTTTATAAAATAATAATTATTAAAAACGAATTTTTTTTTTTTTTTTTTTTTATAAAACTTTCCCCCCAAAACAATTTATTTTAAATAATAATAATAATGATGATGATGATGATGATGATAATGATGATGATAATGATAATTTTTATTAGCCTTTTGAATTAGGAGCGGAAATCTATAGAATAAAAAAAGCAATAAATTCAACAATGGCGGAATTATTAACGACTCCAATGGAAGGTACATAAAAGAATTTTTTTTTTTTGTCGTTAAAAAAAATTTTCTTTTTTACTAATTTTTTTCCTCTTTCGTTTAGGTCCTGATCGATTTTCGATTATACTAATGTCGAGAAATCGAATTCAACGAGAACAAAAAATCGTAATTTAATTATTATTATTATTTTCAATTTTTTATATTTTTTGTAAAAATTTAAATGGCGTAAATTTTTTTTTTTTTCAAAAGCCACTTCAAGTTTTATATGCCATCGATACGATTCTCGAAACTGTCATACAAAAATGGGCCGTATTAAGGATACATTCGATATTAGATATTATTATTGAACAAATGATCGAGGTAATATCATTATTATTAATCTTACAATAATAATAATAATAATAATTAAAATCGGCGATTTAGTGACATCACAAACGTATCATCTCGCGATATAAATTACCAAGACAATTAAAATTTTTAAATCCCGCATTTATTATTATTATTATTTAAACGATTTAATAAATAGAAAGTTAATTTTTTTTGTTTTAATTAGCGAAATCTTTGTAATAATAATAATGATGATGATAATGATGATGATAACAGGAAGGGAAATATTTTAATTGTTTTAGTTTTGCAAAACCAAACAAAACGATCGATCGATTGATTGATCAATTGATCAATTGATCGATTGATCAATCAATCAATTTTTAATCGAATAAAAAATTATTTACAGAAAGGTAAAATGATATTATTCGAAATCAAATCGAAATATAAAAGTACGGGAATGACGACAGCGGAAACGTACAAAACGAAAGAATCCTACGGGATTGTTTATAAACCGGATGAAAAATTAAAAAAAAAATTATATAAAAAATCATTTTTATCGAATAACAATTCGCAATTTTATTTATTAAACGAATTAAATAACGAAAAGAAAAGAAAAGAAAAAGATGAAGAAGGTGAAAAAGATGGTGAAAGAGACGTAGGAGGAGGAGGAGGGGGAGGGGGAAGAGGAGAAGGAGAAGGAGGAGGAGGAGGAGAATATTTTGAAAAAGAAATAAAAGTCGAATCCTTGGATGATGCTCAAAAGAAAAGCAGCAAAGTATAATTATTATTATTATTACTATTATTATTATTAATTTAATTGAATTTCATTAATTTAATTATATTAAATTTATCATTTTTTCAGATATTGTCATCGGTTGCACCCAATTACGTTCGGTAATCAAATCAAAATAAAATTTTCCCTTTAAATAAAATTTAATGGAGGATAATAATAATAATAATAATAATAATAATAATTTTTCCTTGCAGATTTGGCGATTATACAGTACACGAATACATATCGGAAAAAGATTACGAATACGATTTAAAACCGGTTAAACACAGACCCAAAACTCCGATGGTATAATAATAAAATTTGATAAACATTAATTAATTAATTAATTAATTAATTATGTATTTATTTATTTATTTATTTTTTCAACAGCCAACGCAAGAAGAATTATGTACGGTTGGATTTTCCGAAGAAAGACTTAACGACATATTACCAACATTAGACGATTTAGTAGAATTAAAAGAAAAAAAAAAATTTCGTAAATTATTTAAAAGCGTAGCAGTTAATCTTTTTAAACGTTCTATTGAATTATTACGTAGCGCATTAGAACCGATATCGAGATATCGTTCGATAAACAAATTAGTTAATCTCGGAGGTACCCGTTAATTTTTTCTTTTTATGGATGATTTATATAACAAATGATTAAATAAATAATTTTTTTTTTACAATTAGATATAGAAAAAACAACATTAGCACAACTTTTGACTAGTTTAATTATGAATCAAGAAGAGAAAACAATTTACACGACGGATGATTTTGAATGGTTGGCAAAAGTAATCGTACGTTATGCATTAACGGATATATTAAATCCTGTTGAATTTCACAGGGAGGGAAATGATGGGGTACCAAGAATGAAAATTATGTTTTACAAACCTAATAATAATAAAATAAATAAGAAAAAATCAAATGAATTTTTCAAAGAGGGCTACGTGTGAATTTTGCTTCTTTTTTTTTCCTTTTTTTTTTTTTTTTTTTTTTTTTTTTGTAAATTATCATGTAAAAAAATTAAAAAAATAAAAAAAAAAAATATTTAACAAACCTCCTTCAAATTGCTTCCCCCTCCCCCCAAATTATTCTTTCCCTTCCCTTCCCTTTAATTAATTAATTAATTAAATAATAATAATTTTATACAATAATTTACCCATCAATTATATTTATATTCATTAATAATGATTGATTGTATAAATTTTTAATAATATCAAATATTAATAATTAAAAACATAATTTATTTACAAAGGCATATTTTTTTTTTAGTATATATTTATATATATATATATTATTAATGTCTTATACTATAATTTAAGAAAAGATAATATTTATATATATAAAAACAAAAATTGACACTCGTTTACAAACGATTCCTTCCTATTTCTTAATGCATAATTTATGTATATTTACTTAAAAAATATTTTAATAATATTAAAAAATTTAATAATATAAAAAATTTTATTTTTAAAATCTTTTCATCAATTAAAAAAGAAAAAAAAAAAAATTCAAAATTCACTTGAAATAAAAGTTTTTCCTGCCCGTTTCCTATTTATTTTAATTTGTTAGTAAAATAAATAAATAAAAAAAAATCGGTTGAATATGGACAGTTATTAATTAATTAATTAATTAAAATTATACCTAAATCCGAAAATCAATAAGAAAAAATTAAATAAAAAAGTTAATTGAGTGGGGGGGGGGTTGAGACGTACCGACTGAAATTTTCATTGGAAAAAAGGTTTTAGTCGAGAGAAAATACTGAAATTTAATTAATATTACTCAACTTTTAAAATTCTAGAGAAATAGTTAAAATTAATTCGGAATCGTACGATTTATTAATTTATTATTATTATTATTTTAATTATTACGTGCCTTTTTTTTTTGCTGTAATCAATATATATGTATAGATATACGTACTTGTTTTTTATAAATACAAACTAGCCGCAAAAACAATGTCTCTTTTTATTGCTTTGATTCCTTCGTTAAATTTTTCTATCAATGATTGATCTCCGATACTTATAGATGCTTGTACCATTTGTCGCAACATTTCCTCTAAACGTCTCATGGCACGAATTATACTTCCTGCGAACAATAAATAAATATTTTTTGTCGGTAATTTTCTTAAAATCCGGACCGTCATGTTGTTTACGATTATTAATTTACTGTTTATTTGTATGTAATAATATTACCTTCGTAAATATCCGTCATTTGACATATTTTTCCAAAATTAGCACCGTTGCACCAGGCAAACATAACATCCATCAAATACGGTTTAAATCCGTTTATGTAATCGTTTTCGTCTATTTCAAGCTTGGCCTCCTGTGAAATCCTAGCTATTCTACGTGCTAAATTCTGCATTTCTTTTAAAGGTCCTGAAGGGGGAGGGGAGAGAAGAAAAAAAAAAAAAAATTAGCAAATTCCTACCCCCAAAAAAAAAAAAAAAAAAAAAAAAAAAATTTTCTTGACTAACAAGGAGGTATCTACTAACCGGACAATTGATCTGTTAATTTGGGTAATTCCGATGATTTTTCGTCGCAAACAAAACAACTGAGTAAAGCAACGCATTGAGCAACTGATAAATCGTTAAAAACTCCGTTGAATATTAATTCCGTGAGAAGGAGTTCTTCGCCGCTGAAAAATTAAATGAAATTATATTGTAGTATAAGTTTGGGTTGAAAAGTAGGGCCGGAAAATAAAATTCACCTGCTTAATTCGCAAGCGATTTTCCCTTTCGTTTCGATAACGTCCGAAGCCGTGCAGTATCCCATCCTCCTTAAAACTCTTTTCCTGCATTTTAATTCGTTCATTTGCAAGAGGGATTTTGCTTTTTTAAATTGCGTTTTGTACTCCTTTAATTTAACACCCAGTTCCCCTTTCTTCGAGTACAAATCAAATAAATTACCCAGATTGGAATCGTTGTGAAGGGGATGATCGAAAAGCCTTTCTTCGAACGTGGTTATTTTTTTGACAATGTCCAAGAAAACTTTTTCTTTGATTTTCATATCTACGATTGGATCAAGGAGAGGTAATCCTTCGGGAAATCTTTTTTTAACTTCCTAAAATAATTAACCATAAAAACCGATGATAAAAAATTGAATAATTTAAATTAAAACATTTTATATTTTAAAAAATTTACCTGAATTGTTTTAATTATGCTTCGTTTGGCATCGGCAGATCTTAAATCATTCGGAGTTTTTAACCGAATCGAACTGATGTGAGTGATCAAGGTGTGTAAAACAGGAACAACCTCACACGAGCCTCTTGCATTTTTCGGACAAGGCCTTATATCAGGTTCCTTGTAATTTTCGTCCAAGTGTAATAATATATCTACTAATATCAAACGGGGAGAACTTTTCAATGGATTGTCTTTATCGAAATTTTCGCGATTTTTATAATTGACAATCATTCCCCAATCGAATTCTAAATCTTCACATTTCACCTAAAGGAAAAGTTTATTATTTTCTCTAAAAATAAACATTACAATACATTTCGTAAAATATTTTTTTTTTTTTTTTTTTTTTTTTTAACAAGTCGACCAGGCTGCAAAAATGGTAATAAATAATTTGGCTTCGTTAAAAATGTTTGAAATTGTTTTCCTAAATCTTTTAATTGTTCTCTTATACTAAAATATGAAGCTACTTGAGATTCTTTTGGAATAATTATTTTTTCATATTCTTCAAGCGTTTTTTTAACGTCTAAAATAAAGCGATTGAAATTTTAATAATAATAATAAAAGATCCGATGGAAAACAAAGTACAAAAATAAATAAACGAATATTTACTTTCGTAAATTTGAGGTATGGCGGATTGATTTTGAAATTGATAAAAACTTCTTTCAAGCATGTATTCAGGATTGATTTCTTCAACCCTTAGAAGATTTAAAACCATGTTATACGTTAAATGAAATGCTGAATTAATAGGATCGGGAGCTCCTTTGACAATTTCTCTTCCCACGGAAGGACTCACTTGTTCATCTATCATTAAAATTACGATTCCTTTATCATCCAAACCACGTCTCCCGGCTCTTCCCGACATTTGAATATATTCCCCCGAAGTTACCTAAACAAAAATTTATAATTAATAAAAATAAATTTTAAATTGAAAGAAAAAAAAAACAAAAGTTACTTACGAATCTATAATCTTTTCCATCAAATTTACGACAACCGGTAAAAAGTACAGTTCTGGCAGGCATGTTTAATCCCATGGCAAAAGTTTCAGTGGCGAATAAGGCTTTAATAAGTCCTTCGGCAAATAAAATTTCAATTGTTTCTTTTAAAATTGGTAAAAGACCTCCGTGATGAATTCCAATTCCTCTTCTTAGCAGAGGCAATACGTTTTCTACTTGGGGTAATTTCCTGTCTTCTTCGCTTAAAACATCCATGGCATTATTAAAAACTTCATCCACGAGTTTTTTCTCTTCGACTGGAAAAAAATAAAAAGGCCAATTGCCAAAACTTTTCGAATTGAATTTTTTTTTTTTTTTTTTTTTTTTTTTTGTTGAAAACAAATCCACAAACCTGAATTAAAATCTAATTTTGCCATTTGCAATGCATATGCTTCACAATCTTTTTTACTAAAACTAAAACATATAACCGGAGCAAAATTTCTCTCCATTATCATTTTGACAATTTTGAAAGCATTAGAACCCCTAGCATTATTTCGATTGAGTCTGTCACCTTTAGCTGCATCTCCTGCATTTTGCAAAACAGCCATTGCAGTATTAAAATTATCTTCTTTAAATTTCCCCTAAATAATAATTGAATTTATTATTTAATTTTTTGCAAACCTTAAGTTTATAGTTTTAAAAAGTTAAAGTAACTTACATTTTCATCTAAAACCAAATGTATTCCATCTCCTCCAGCAGGAAATATGTAATGTTGCAAAGGTGTCGGTCTGTAATCTGTGTAAACGACATGACATGGTTGATTATGCAAGTGTGCAACCCATTCTGCAAACTGTCTGGCATTGGGTATTGTAGCCGATAAAAAAACATAATGAACATTGTCTGGGAGTAAAATTAAAGTTTCTTCCCAAACAACACCTCTTTCTTTGTCCCTCATATAATGAATTTCATCGAAAATAACCCAACCAACCTCTCTCATAACTTCAGATCCTCTATAAAGCATATTTCTCAAAATCTAAAGTCATCACAAAAATTCACAAAGTTTTAGCAATGCATACAGTACTTTGATTTAAAAAAATTTTTTTTTTAAAAGTCAAAAAAATATATATTTTTACTTACTTCAGTTGTCATAATCAACAAGCTTGCATTTTGATTAATGGTTACATCCCCAGTGATTAAACCTACTTCACCAAATTCTTCTGTAAATTCTCTAAATTTTTGATTACTTAATGCTTTAATTGGAGTTGTGTAAATAACCCTTTGTTTGTCTCTAAGAGATTTAGCTATACTGTATCTATAAAAAAAACATGGAATGTTAAATTAAAACTTGAATTTATATAAAATATTTGTTAAATGAAAACATAAATCATTTATTAAATAAAAATAAATTTACTACTTACTCTGCTACTACAGTTTTTCCAGCTGAAGTATGGGCAGATACTAAAACTGACTGATTATTTTCAATGCACAATATGGCTTCTTCTTGAAAAGCATCTAGTACAAATTTGTATTCTTTTGCACGTGGACAATTACCTTTTACCAAAGGTACATATTCTTGATTAGGAGGCACTGCAACTTCGTGAGTGCAAGCACCTTGTGCTTCAATTGAGTGAATTTTTATTCTCACAGCAAATTCATCAACACTAAAAAAGATAATATTATCAATAAGTAAAATTAAAAATTCATGATAAATTCAGTTTTTATGTGTAAATCTACACATTTAAATTTACATACTTGACTTCGTCCAATACAGATTCAGAGTTTTCTGTTTTTAAATGCTTTGATTGTTCATCGCTATCAGTAGAATGTGATCTTTTTAAAGATTTGGAAGAATTCAATTTTTCAGAACTAAAAATAATTATAGTTTTAGTAAAAAAAAAATATTATAAATAAAAAAATTACATTTCAAAGATAACCAATTAACAATAAAACTTAGTTAATACTGGTATCTTATAATTATTAACTACAACTGTTATATACAAGTTTTACTTATAAAAACAATTAAAATTTAATTTATTTATAAAAATAAGTATGATTTATTTTTAATTTATAAAGTAGAGAGCAACGGTTGTGTTAGTATGTATTTTATAATCTCATGATTTAAAACTATTATAAAACTATTGAATAAAACCTAACCTATTCACGTCACTTTTTTCACACGATTCAATTTTTTCAGTTTCCTCTTTCTTAGTATCAACAATAACGGGCTCAGAAATTTGTTCTTTTTCTTCAGATTCTTCAAAAACATCAAAAATATCTTCGGAAAAATTTGCCATATTTATTATATTATTATGAAAAATAAGTTATTCGTTCAAAAAAAACACTACTTTAACGTCTTTGGCGACATTGCATGTGAGTGTATTTCAAGTTATGACAAAAAGTTAGTGCCACGTTTTTTTTTTACAAGTTTCTTTTCCTTTTTTTTTGTTCTTAAAAAAAAAATTAAAAAATGTGTTTAAAAACTCGCGTTGAATATTTATTAAAAGTTTTATATTGATTTTTCATTAAAGCAATAATATTTTTTAATAATAAATTCACGAGTGCGCGTAATTAAATAATATTTAATTATAAAAAATAATTAACATGGAAGCAGAGGTTATAAACAAAATTTTCGCGGGTTAAAAATTTACCATTGTAATTTTTTTTTTTCTCACAAATTTATAAAATAATTTCAAATAAAGGTTAAATAGATATATTTAAGGTATTTTCTTTTATATTGTTTGATTAATTTAAATTTAATTTATTAATTTATTTAAAAAAAAAAAATTGTTTCATTTAATTTTAGTTAAACTAGTGTACATTAGGGTTAAACTAATGGGTTTGCAAATTCAAAGCAAAAACAAATATTATTAAAAAATTATTTAAAAATTACTTATTAAGTTGAACTTATTAACCAAATAAGTTTAAAATTACATATTGCAAACTATTAATAAAATAATAATAATGAATGATGTTCTAATTGTAATTCATTTATCTTTTATACAACAAAAAAAAACTTGAGATTTAATCAAAACTAAAAAAATATTATATTACATAACAATATAATTTTGTCTAAATTAACAATAAAATAATAATAACATACATTATGGTATAAATCTAAATCAAGATTTTTATATTATGATAGAAAATTTTTTCCAAATCTCATATTTTTAGTCAAAAACAAAAAACTATATTTATATTGTCATTTGGTTTTTATTTCATTTCCCAATGTTAAATTTTTTTTTGTGTTAAACTTTTGATATATATAAAAATTGTAAAAAAAAAAAGAAAAGATTAATTAAAATAAATTTTTTATAAGATTAATAATATGTTTATTAATAATGTGAAAAGTATTTTAATAAAAAAAAAAAAAAAATGGGAAAAATTTAGATGTGATATAGTAATTTTTAGTAGTAGTGTTATTAAAATTAGAGCAGAGGACAAGAAAAAACTGATTCGCTGCGGCCCCAATTTTGATCTCTGCTTTTCCAAAAAATCAATAAATCTGGTGAGACGGCGCATTATGTACATAAAAACTGCCCGGGTAGATATCGACGAGAAAAAAAAGTGCGTGCGTGAGAGTGTGTAAAAATACGTATTTTATAATGCGGGGCGTAAATTGTTAACTATTGAATTATATTAATGAAATTAAATAAATAAATAAATTGTTACTAATAAAAAAATCAACGAAAAACAAAAAAACTTTTAATAACAATCACCGATTTTTCTTTTTTTCGTATATGTTTTTTTATTAAAATTTATTTATTTGACTCGAGTTAAATTAAATGTCGTCAGATCATACATAAAAATTTTATTTTTTAATAGTTATTAATATATAGTAAAATCGATACGTTAAATAATTAATATAAATTGTTATAATAATAATTTTAATTTTTTTTTTGTAATAAATAATGATTAAAGGTATTGTGCGGTTAAAAAAATAATAATCATAAGGTTTAAGGATTAAAATAAATAAAACGGGAGTAAATTAAATTTTTTTTTTTCTTTTGTTTATCGGGAAAAAAAAAAAATTATGACAAATGATTATCATAAATTTTTTTTGATCATGATCACTCTCGGCGACAACATGGTGTGTCCATGTGCAAACCGGTAAACCTAAAGT